GGCAGGGCAGGGCAGGGCAGGCAGACAGAGACAGACGAAAACCTGAAGACCTCAGCAGAGACACCGAGGCGACATTGCTGTCGACCAGGGCTTCTTCAGCTCCGACTCGGGCAGCCCTGACAAGCCAGCGTTGCCGGTATGCAGTTCTGTGGTTTGAGGATTCGCGCTTTATCAGACTATGCGAGATCCTGGTTCGGGGAATCAGGTTCTGAGAGTGATTTGAGTCAGTTGGCAGCTTGTGGTCTGTCGAGTCTATGCCCGGACGCACGTTCCAGACAAGAGGTCACGCTTTCCCTAAGCTCCGAAGGCCCAAATGCGAAGTCCGCCACGCTTTCACCCCAAACGCGGAATTCCTGCAAAATGCCGAGGTACAGTGGCAGCAGCGAGGTGCTAGTCGTCGGTGATGCGGAGCCTGGAGAACTGTGTCTGGGACGCCGGAAGTAGTGTTCTAGACGATTCCAAATCTATCGGAATCGTAAGACATTTATCACTGCGGTAAAAAGAGTATCATTTGCTGGTAGTCTTGCTCGTCTTCTTTTTAGCTCTACTGCGACCGGGACTGCTACCGCCACTAGAACTAGCACTGGTACTACTGCTGCTGGCGCTACAGATGGTAGCAATGCTGTCGTTAGCATTCTCTTTGCTGTTCGAGTGGCAATGATAAGAGCTTGCACGACGGTACCTACAGCAAGACCGTGAAAACACATAAGAGCCCGCAGACCCGGTGCACCGCGGCAAATGCCAACATTCACATGCCGGGAGAGAAACAGAGAGCGGGTATCTTTTGAATTTAAAGTCTCTGAGATCAAACCTTTGGCATCACGTGAGTCTCCTGTTCACGCGATGAAGACTCGGCTGGGTTGACATTTGGAAAGTGTAACAGGGAAAGACTCAGAGCCGACTTCAACGCCAAGGATGAACAATCCTCACCCAAGTGTAGCACGGTTGTTTGCCATTCTTTTCCGTTCTCCCATGATTCCTCTGGCTTTTAGCTCCTGAGCTGCCGAGGTGGATCTTCAACATTCTGACCGGCAGGCACCTGTGATGTATTCAGCTGGCGATTTGCAGGGCCTGGGGTTGAACCCGTTTTTCTAAGGAGAATCATACTTCGAGTATATGCAACCGAAACCTGCAGGCCTTCGGGCTGTATTGCATATGGTATGCTGCAGAGAGCGCTTCATAGATGAGACGAGCCAGGCGGATGTTTTAACACCAAGCAATGTGTAGGAACACTTGCGGTTGTCGGAGCAGTAGCAGTAGCAGTAGCAGTAGCAGTAGCAGTAGAAGTAGTAGTAGTAGTAGTAGTAGTAGTAGTAGTCGTAGTCGTGGTAGTAGTAGTAGTAGTAGTAGTAGTAGTAGTAGTAGTCGTG